TATATATATATATATATATATATATATATATATATATATATATATATATATATATATATATATATATATATCTCGAATGGAAGGCCACAGCGAGAAATTTTTCTACTTCTCTTGTAAAAGTTTTTATATCAATTCTGCTTCATTTCCACTTAAGTAGGTTGTTAGTCATTATATGGTTGATTTTAAGTCATTTTCATATAATTTAATTCTGGTTGTAACGCTGTATTTGATTGGATAAAAAATTTACTTTATATTGTATAAAATGGGTTGCCTACGTCATAATGACTTGCGTCAAAAACGTATCGATCCGCCTGACGTTACATTCAAATTTTGAACAAATTGTAGTCGTTTTTTAAGGACAATCATCTTTTTTTTTCTAACACCAAATGAATGAAAATTAAATTATAAGGAATGAATTTAATAGCTACCCAATTTATACGGTATAAACTGGGTTGAAACTATAAACCGCTTCGCGGTTTATAAAGCGTAAACTGCCCCAACCCAGTTTATACCGTATAAAATGGGTAGTTATTAATTCATTCCTTAATTATCAATGATTAATTACAACAAACATACAGGTAATATTTGGAAACAACGTCTCATACTTTTCAAATGTGATGTTATTTAGAAAAGATATTGATATTTAAGAAAAAAAAATGCATACTAATAGTAGAAATATACCTTTACAATACTTTCCCTTTTCAGAAGGGTGGGGGAGGGGGTTGTATAGGGGATATAGATATAGGATTTCATGCATAAAAATGATTCACCATTGGACATGCCTTTAAAGAATCAAGAAAGTTTAAAAAACATTCCATAATCTTAATGCATCATAATGCATTGCCATTTTTTTTTTTATAAAAATTTAACCAGAAATAATCATGATTACAGTCAACTTCTCCGTAGTTGATTAAATTATATTACGAGTAATCATTTTTTCCTGATTACTGATTACATCAAAATTACTCGGAAAAAGTAATTAACTACACCTTATTACAATTACAAATAACAATTACCACACGACTGACGTAAGGTTGTCAAATTATAAAACTTCTTAAAGTCCTATTCCTTTTTTGTGTGTGTTTGTGTGTGGAAAAAAATATAGTATGGTTATTCCTAGATTAGTCAATTCATTGTTTAATATCACACATATTGTAACAGATATTGTTTTGTAAAAAATGAACTTTAGTACTCATAAAATATATGTAGTAAAAATTCTGTCAAAGTTTGAAGAGAGGAAAGCATTATTTTGGGATACATCAATTTTCTGTATAAATTACCCTAGAAAATGGGGTATAACTCTTGTCATAACAGTGGACTTTAGTTCATATCTTTGTGCACTTTTCTATTTTGAAGAGGGAGGAAATGGATTAAATTCTATTATAGAATATCTGTTTTAGGTGAAGCGGAAACCGACGACTACGTACATGCACAGGCACGCCCCCTTTGATTTTTTATACTGTCTGGGATACACCAACACAATTTATTCTGTCATGGTTTCTTCATGTTTTTCGTTTTACGATTACTTTCGGTTGTAAATAAACAATAAACTCAGGTACAATGTTCAGATTAGAAGGTTGTAAATGCGATTTTTAAATACAAATTATAAGTTTTTCAACTTTTGTTTTTGTTCTTTTGATGAATATTGTCTTTTTTCTCTCTCAATATTTTTCGTAAAAAAAGATACTTAATTTACAAGACATACTGCAGAAATACTTTTTCCGCGTGGCATTATGTACGCGGTCACTAATTTTCGGAAGAACTTAAAGTAGCTTGAAGTAACTTAAACAGCGTACTTAAAATACATTTAAGACATACAGAGGCATCCTCGATGTGAATTTACAATTTGACGACAGTTCAATATATACCATCTAAACCATTTGCGCTATATATGTCGATTTTATATTTTACACATATATGTGGTGTGCTAGCGTTATAAAGGGATTAAATAAAATTAAACTTGAGAATAAATATAAACAATGTAACAACTTTTGAAAATTACACTTATAAGTAACTGCAAAGAATTTAAAATAGTGTTATTATTATTACATCGTCAGCAAGACAGCTTACAACCTTCAAGAATTCATGTCGAAAAATTCTTTCGAGTGCATAGTCAATACGATTGTTCAAATTGTCACTAAAGCTATTTTTTCAAGAGAAAATCATACCTGACGATTTAACTCTGTCCTGAGCTGGCTTTCAGACAGACTGACCTGATTGTAGCACAAAGATATATTATAAATACAGCAACTTAAATCTGTGGAATCCAATGAATATACAACATCCAAAGCTTTTAAAGGCAATATCCTGAAATTATGAACATAACAAAAGAAGTCAAGATTTTGAAATTGAGGTCAAACCGTTGCCGCTTTGTTTTTATGCTCATTGTTGTGAGATCAAATGATTTTACAAGAAAGTAATTTATAGCTACAATATATCCACGAGATATCGATGGTCAAGGTCAAAGTTCTCCACTGATCAACCCAGAGACAAACATAACTGTTCAAAATGCAACTGACAGACTTATAGAATTAACATTTATCTCAAGTGTTCAACCTCAATCTCACATTCTTCTCTGGGTTTTATTATTATTATAATTATTCGTTTTCCTTGGCAATCTACTACATATCCATTACAAGTATTCTTGTAATTGGTTTGCTCTTTTTATTACCATTATTGACCTGAGGGAACTTACATTTTTGCTGCGCAGAGTAAATTCTCGGACCCAACGTAACTGTGATGGATAATATAGTTAGAATAAGAACGTCTGTAATTCTCAGTCTTTTTTAGCCTCTCCAGTCGAACATATCTAACAGTCCTTTCTGAGGTAAATATTTTAAGTATCTTGTAAAGTATATATTAGGCCTTTGTTACGTTGTTTCCTTTTTAAGATATATAACTTATTATCAAGAGTCAAATTCAAACAGCAACAACATATAGACTTACAATTAGACATTCATTCTTCAAAGTAAGTAGTTAAATTTAAAATAAATAAATAAAAAAAAGAATCGCCAATTTAGATGCTGAGATCAAATATAACACAGAAAAAAAATATTTGGCTAGTATTTCCAATTAATATTTACCTTAGGTCTTCTCTTAATTTTTTTTTTTTATTTCTTTCAAGCAGACTTGGCGATTATGCAGTACTCTAAGATTATACTGTGTATTGGGTTCCTTGCTGTTGGTGAGAATTTCAACTTTAAATTTTAATTCAACTAAAAGTAGACATGAAACTCTTTTAGAATAAAATCCAAGAGATTTTTATTTACAAATATTTATTTAAAATTGAAACGGGATGTTTTATGTCAAAAATTGTTTTGTTGGGAGTAAAACCTTAAGTTTTTAAAAATTCCTCTGATATCAAATATTCAATAATTATTTAAGAATGAATCAAATGTCCTATATTTGTCAGAATAATAAAAAATTATAAAGTAATAGCCTTGTATTTTGCCCCCTTCCCCAAAAACAAAAATGTCCAGAGTCTAAAATGTGCAAAAATAAGATCCAGCCGTTTTTCGAGGGGTAAAATTTTATTTTTTTTCATCGATTACAAAATTAATTGTATGTTTATAATGTGCTTATACAAAAGGTCAGAATGAATGTCAGATTGATTAATTTACTCAATAAATTAATATTTTACGCAACATTTAGGAGGTTCAAAATATTTGTCCAGTGGACGTTCTCGACGCATAATTGGATTTGCTTCAATGTAATGCGCGAAAATGCGTTTAAGAGTGATTTCAGTACTGAACAATCTTTATCATACACAAATCGAAAGCGCCTTTTTTGTTCATTTGTTGAATTACAAGTAATGAATGATTTTTTACTCATATTTCAAGTACAAAGAGATAGTGATAGGGCATCAGTCATGCTAGAAGCACTATTAGAAGCGTTACGTTAATACTTCCGTAGCGCCATTAAAGCGTTACGTTAAACGTCACCAACATCACGCGGAACTTCATTATACGATTTGGTTGGCTGACCACAGCTGGAAAGGCTTTACAAAGTTACGCACATAGGAAAATGTTCCATCTAGTTTGAAATAACATGTCAAATTGTAATACTTAGGAAATAATCAAACTATAACAAAGTTATGCTTCACATAAATAATAAACACCTACAAGATAATAAGGGTATAGTTAAATGCAATTACAAGTACATGTGTATATATTAAAGTTTCTGTAGGTTGGAAGAATTGCTTTTGCTCTCGATGCAACAGAACCAGAATTTATCCATTTTAAAATAAATCAGTACAAAAAAATTAAACTGACAAAAGAATCAATTGTTTGCATTAAAAAAAAATATGTTAACGCTCCATGCGAGGATCGAACTAAAACATTTTCGACTTCATTGCACTGAAATACCAATACAAGGAATAATTTATCATTTCTTGGATAATATTTAAAAGTTATGTACATATCTGCTTATGTACATAAAAATGAATGACGTGCATTGGTGAAAATTGTCGGCACAGCCGCCCATGTTATGACACAATGAATGTCAAAAAATATTGATTCAACTCTATATTTGCATTATTATAGCATTTGTATTATCTTTATATTCATATTATCAGGTAACATTTTTAAATGGATCAAGTTCATCTTTACTTGCTTTAAAATTAAATTTATTAATTAAATTAAATTAAATCCGGCTTGTATGTATACTGTACAGAAAAGCCGCCTATTCCTACGGCTAATCCGGCCTGTATGTATACTGTACAAAACAGCCGGTTATTCCTTTACTCCTTTGCTGTGGATGCATAAAAATATAGTCCTTTTATATTTTTTAAAATGAAAGGTTTTCACAATTTCATTTTTACAAAAGTAATAAGACAAAGAGGGAACAAACTCGGGCTACCTTTACAAGAACTTGATACATTTGTATATAGATATGGCATTTAATTAACCTATTCGACCTAAACAATTACTTCACACATTTGTTTATAGACAGGGCATTTACTTAACCTATTCTGGGTCTCAATTTCTTTCTAATCATTTCAGGAATCCACCTTGCTCTGGCAGCTTATGGAGGGCAAACTTGCACCATACCCACGTCAGGTAACCCAGGGGCCACTACTGTGTGTACAGGGACTGCAAATGGCTATTGTTTGATAGACACTTTTACCACCGCGGGTAGCCCATCTCTCACTTCCGCCACTGTAACTGGAAAATGCATCTGTTATTATGGATACAGTGGGGCAGCTTGTGGAAGTAAGTTTTTTAAACATTTAGGTATTTGTTAAGTGTCGTGAGTAACGTTAGCAATATTACATACATGTTATTGTAATACTGTGAAAGAAGAATGCATTCTTTAAATTATATTTATTTGGCTGTTTTGTTTTTCTTTTGGAATGAATAGCTTGAAAAAAATCTTTACCCAGAGAAGGAGAATGCTGAGGAAAATGTTGACGATAAGCGTTCCGAATGATTGAATTATCTAGATTGATCTAAATGTCAAGTTTTAAAAGAAACTTGAGCTGCGTATCTAAAAATTTTATTTTGCTTTTAAAATATGCTATTGTGAAATATATTCAGCATGTGGCTTAAACCTTTATGATCAATAAGACTAAGTGTTCAATTTGACAGGAATATTTCTATACCATAGATTGTATAGTATTGTACAGGAAATCATTTTTACCGGAAGACAGTAATGTTATTTTGCTTAAATTAAAGCTTCTAATTAGCCTTTCATACGCTATAATGAATAATAGATGTTTATAAACCTTCATGTCGTTGAAACTGTAGTAAATTGCAAGTTCTCATAGAAAATTTCCGACACAAAAATTGCAGCTCATATTGCTTTAAAGTTTTTTTAACATATTTTTTAGCTGTTGACCCTACTGCTTCGACCTCGTCCTCAAGCCCCACAAGCAAAAGCGCTGCCAACACCATCGCAACACTAGGACTTCTAGGCGCTGGTGCTTGGGCTCTTTCACAGGGACTCAGTTCCGGTGGATCACAGAATGCACTTGGTATCGGCCAAGGATCCGCACAAAGTGCTGAAGAGGCTTTATACATTCGACAAGCCTTGAGCTAATAGAATAGATCTGTACCTCCATCTCTCCAACAGCTGATTTCTAGCAATCTTTTCTACATATTGTGAGAAAAGAAATGAATATTTCAGTCATTATTTCAATGTGTAAATTGGCAATAAATAATGATAAATAAATTAGAATAAATTTATAAATGAAATGACTCTTTAAAAAAAAAATTGTGAGGATCTTTGCAAAAAAAACTGAGATTTTTTTGCTTATACGCTAAGGATATATACCCCCTGGAAACGCCAGAGGTGGGATTAAGTGCCTAGGAAAAATTTAATCTCTGGGTCCTCTTTTTCGATCATTTATACGGGGAGTACACCGCATGTGATAAGAAATTTCAAAGATTGTAAATGTTTAATGCATATTCCGAAAAAAAAAAAGGAAAATTAATTTACTGTGAATTATAATTTCAACAATATCAATTACTAGAATAAAGGTCCAACTCTAGATGCATGATTGATATTATGTACATGTATACTCGAGGGCTGATTCAAAAGTAACGTCATCTTGTAACAATCGAAAGATAACAAATTAAATATTGAATCAGATTTTCAATCATTTAAGAAATAAACAACAATGTTTAAAAGTTCTCTGGGAAATGAACTTGGTTGGTCACGTGATCAAATCCTGTGAAGCCCGAAGGGCTTCTCAGAAGATTTGATCACGTACCAACCAAGTTCATTTTCCAGTGAACTTTTTAACATTGTTGTTTATTACTTTTATTTACATTTGAGACGAATATTCTGAAAAGAACTGTATTTATTACACGAACGGCCCGCCGTATTGCTATGTTGTGACGCGCAATGACCTAGAAGCTGTTTGGTCTTGAGAGTTCGCCTCGCTCCAACATTTGAATACTTACATTGATGTTCAGCAGTCCAGTTCAGGAAATATCTGTTCATAATGAAAAAAACAGTGATCGCTACTGAGAATAATCTTATTATTATTGTATGAGTTCTTTATATATGAAGTTAAAAGCGGTGATATCGTCTTCAGTTTACAAACCTTCAAAGGAATTTCGGGTTAAAAAGGTAAGCATGATTTGAGGCTAATTAAATACATTTTTCACACCAAAGAAAGAACTAATGATCATTTGTTGAACGAAAAAAAACAACATAGTTTATCTTTTTCATCGCTTTGACGGCTTAGAAGTTACGAAACCAGTGTCACCGTGACAGAAATATGTAGACAAGATATCATCTCGCTGTGTGATTCGGTCACTCCATGACCTCTGACCCCCTAATAAGTTCATTTAAGAAATGAATTTAATTTTTTAAGATTCATGAGGACATGAACTACGACGCTTCACGCCGGCATATTTCATGAAGCGCGTTAGCGCTTCGTGATAAATATGCCGGCGTGAAGCGTTGTAGTTCATGTACCTCATGAATTTTCAAAAAATAAATTCATTTCTTATATTTACATTATTTTTCTGATGAGTTGCTACAAATTACGCCATTCAACTGTCATTTTTTAAAACAAAACAGTTTGCACTATACTTTTGACGTCAAGTGCGGTATTATGACGTAACAATGGAGATATTCATGCTCACCCATGGTAGTTCATGAGAAAATGAACAGTCTTCTAATTTGCAAGGAATATTAAGGGAAAATATTTGGAAATGTAAATATACAGAAATATTTACATTTCCAATAAAATTCCCCCTATGATTCTTTAAAAAATAGAATACAGTTCATTTTCTCATGAACTACCATGAATGGGCATGAATATCTCCATTGTTACGTCATAATACCTCACTTGACGTCAAAAGTATAGTGCAAACTCTTTTGCTTTAAAAATGACAGTTGAATGGCGTTATATGAGACATATCATCAGAAAAATAATGTAAATATAGGAAATGAATTTAATTTTTGAAAATTCATGAGGTACATGAACTACAACGCTTCACGCCGGTGTAAAGACGAATAATGACCCCCATAGAAAAATGACCGAGAGTCATTTTTCGACGTCGAATAATGACCCCCGGTCATTATTCCATGGCGAAAAATGACCCCCGGTCATTATTCGACGTCGAAAAATGACCCTTTTGCCCGTAGAAAAAGTGTCATCACCCTAAAAACATGCATACCCCACGTGAAGAAAAATGACCCCCGTAGAATAATGACCCCTTGTGAATTAAAGCGGATCAAAGTTGAAACTTTTGGGGGGGGGGGGCAAAATAAAAATAATAAATCAAGAGACCTGTTGGCCAAAAGGCTCACTTGAGCTTCATTGGGAATAAATCGATGATATATTGATCTCATTACATTATAAAACCATTGCTGATTTTAAGGTTAATTTCATTACATAATACAATCATTGCTGTTTTTAAGCTCAATTTAGTGATTCAGAATCTAGTGAAGTTAAAGATTTATCGATTCCAAAGGGCGAGGAGGGCATTGTTTTTCGATAGTGGAAAATCACTGATTGCCCTGACAGAAAAAACAACAATAATTGTTTTATTATATGATTCAACGATTAAATTGATACAAACTGATTAAGCAGACATGTCAAGTTTCTTGTTAACATTTGCTCAAGTCCTAACTAACACAGTGAAAGAATAGGAGTTAACATAAGCATAGCCAGTATTAATTTTGCATTTGAAATCTAGTTTTGGTGCAATGTAGAAAAAATAAATGTCAGGCTTAGCATCGAAAGGGGAAATGGCTCATTATAAGAGGCAAAAAATACTTTTAGTTGAAAATATCTTTGATGAACCCCTCAAAAAGTTTATTGATATAAGTGGGATTTTCTTTTACTCTACTGTATCGAAAAGTTGGGGGCAGGACAACCAGACTTGCAATGACCAATTTCAATCGAAAAAAAAAATACATACGTTCATGGAAATGGAAGGGGGTGGACACCCCATCCCTGATTCTATGTGCCTGAATTTTATGTTCATCTTGTCCAGTCAAGTAGGAGAGATTTTTTAAATATACTGTACAAGAAAGAGGCAGTGGTTACAAGACTTTTAATGAACATTTTCAAATTAGAAATTGCTAAAATTTACATTCAGAAAAGGGGAAACAATACCTCCCTCTTCTCCGATTCTTTGTGCTTGAATATTATGTTCATTTGAGTAGAATTCAGATGCAGATGAAATAACTTTTCAGAATTGTTTTCAATCTTTTTTTAGTTCAATGTAGGAAAAATAAATCCTTATACATGTATTCACCTTGAAGGTCACTAGAATAGTCTGTCTTTAATTATAAATTGAAAACATTAATCTTCTTCAATATACACTGTATTGAAAATGTTTCCATATTGATTTGACAAATGTATCACTGTTTTAAAGTGGATTAAAAAATATTCCTCTTACATGTATGTTTCTATTCTCAGACGACCATGTTAACAGACTTGAATGTACATTTTACTGGGATTCTCCTGTATTACTTCTATATACTTGAAAAGAAATTCCCATAGAGTAGACCATTGTTTATAAATAAAATTGAATGCACATTATAAGATTATATATATTTCAGACATGCAGATATTTGATGTCCTTCTTATGTTTGTCACCTTTGCTTCATATTTGGACGTTCTACTGACTATAGACGATAAAGACCAACTAACAACTAAATTGTCTGACAAACGGGATGACTTCAGCCTTTTCTATTGTCATTTTTCCTTATTTATAAAGTAATATTCTGCAAACATTTGCATATAATGTTTACGTCTACCAACTTATTCGATACCCAAGAGCACGATTAATTTTTAAATCGAAGCAGGCTACTGACAGATACATGTAAGTTGATGTTACAGGGGTTTCAACAACCTCGTTTAAAGTCAGCATTTCGTAGATTCAATGGTCGTATCAATGACCCTGTCAACAAATATAACCTATAATTGGGTCAATTGTTTGGTCCTTGTTTTTTTTACTGAATTCGACAACGGAATGTCACGTTTACCCGATTTATTCATAGCGCTCACGGCGGATGTGACGGACAACAGGAGATGCTTCTCTTTCTAGGCACCTGATCCCACCTCTGCAATTTTTGGGGGTCTTTTTTTATGCCCTGTTAACAAAATTGTACTGCTTGTGGATATTTTAAAATCATCACTGTTCGTTATCTTCACCATTTTTTCATTAAGAAATATATATATATATATATCCACAGTATATCGTTCGCACGAGTTATTACGTCATTTTCGATACATTCTACCTCATTTGCACGACTTTTAATGTCATTCAAAATATGCATATATATTACATTGCATAAATTTCCGTATTTATTTATGAAAAAATATCACATTCTTTTTTTCCCTTCATTTTTTTTTAAAAAAGTTTTTCCAACTCAAAGCATGCTGATTACTTTGGGAGACATGTTTACCAATGAAAAGCCAGAACATCCCGCTTGTCTGTTATTTAGCTATGAATGTCTTTAATCAGTCAAATATCCAAATATGAAACAAATGGAAGACAGTCACAAGTTTGGCTTTCCAGAAAGCCTAAAATGTCATCTCTTTGGCTTCATGAATGTCACAGAATAAACTGTGGAATGTTATATCATTTTCTCAGCTATTACAGGCAGTAGTATCGCTTTTGAAAAAAAAAAAAAGGGGGGGGGGGAGAGAAAAGAAATCGACGACTTGTCTGAACAATCTTTGACAAGGGGAAAAGGGGGCTGTCCAAACTCAACATTCTCATTTCTTGGAAGGGGGGATTACAACTTTTCCAACAAACATATTTTATATCATAATACATTCCCATGGGATGATTTGATGTACGATACTGCAACAAAAGATGGAAGATGGGGCAAGGGCGCGCCTTTCAATGAATATTTTCAATGTTTGGGAAAAAGTGGAAGGGGCCGACCCTCCTGATGCTACGTGCCTGTATTATTTTACCTGTTGTAAATACATATATGCTTTATTCATTTTAAATATTGTTTGTTCAATGTCTGTAAAAATCTAACCACTGAGAAATATTC